GGGGTGGGGGGGAGTACCTCTCTCAGGTAGACAAAGGCAGGTGCAGAGCCAGGAGGGGTAGTTGTAGATGGGGCAGGGGCAGGCGAGACAGGTGCAGACAGGGCAGCAGCCCCATCACCAATGTCTCAGGGTTTGGGGACCCTCACCCTGAAGGTTCTCTGTGCGTGTGTGTTCTGTTGTGTGTGCTGTGTGTGTATGTGTAAGTGTGTTGTGTGTGGTGTATGTGTGTTGTTTGTGTGTGTGTGGTGTGTGTGTGTTGTGCATGTGAGTGTTGTGTTGTGTTGTGTGGTGTGTGTATGTGTATGTGTTGTGGGGTGTGTGTGTGAGAGTGTGTGGTGTGTGTGTAGTATGTGTAAGTGTATGTGTTTGTTGTGTTGTGTGTGGTGTGCGTGAGTGTGTGTGTGTTGTTTGTGTGTGTTGTGTTCTGTGTGTTGTGTGTAAGCATGTGGTGTTTGGTGTGTGAGTGGTGTGTGAGGTGTTGTGTGGTGTGTGGTGTGTGTATGTGTGTGGTGTGTAAGTGGTGTGTGTGTGTATAAGTGTGGTGTGTGTGTGTGAGGTTGAGGGTGTGGTATGTGTGAGTGTGTGTAAGTGTGGTGTGGTGTGTGTAAGTGTGGTGTGGTGTGTGTGTGTGGTGTGTGTGTGGTGTGTGTGGGTGGGGGGTGTTTGAGTGTGTGGTGTGTGTAAGTGTGTGGTGTGGTGTGTGTGGTTGTGTGTAAATGTGTGTGTTGTGTGTATGTGTGGTATGTGGTGTGGTGTGTATGTGTGGTGTGTGTTGTGAGTGTGTGGTGTGTGTAAGTGTATGGTGTGTTGTGTGTGGTTGTGTGTAAATGTGTGTTGTGTGTGAGTGTGTGTTGTATGTGTGGTATGTGGTATGGTGTGTATGTGTGGTGTGGTATGTGTGAGTGTGTGGTGGTGTGGTGTGTGTAAGTGTGGTGTGGTGTGTGTGGTTGTGTGTAAATGTGTGGTGTGTGTGAGTGTGTGTTGTGTATATGTGTGGTATGTGGTGTGGTATGGTGTGTATGTGTGGTGTGGTATGTGTGAGTGTGTGGTGGTGTGTGTGTAAGTGTGGTGTGGTGTATGTGTGTGTGTATGTGGTTGTGTGGTGTGTGTGTG